CTAAATTATTCCCATAATAATTTGAATGATTTGATAAGTTCCCACGCTATTTTGAAAACTATGTAATTATATTCAGGAAAACGTCCCTAATGCTCCGCATATTACAAAAGCGATAAAGTATCTAAAGTTTGTTAGAAATTCGTATAATTACATCAGTTTTAAGTTTCAAAAACCTTTATGATTTACTTGTATTCCCCCCTTGAAAACATGAAAAACTCTGAAAAGTGTAGGGGTAAGAACTTACCAGTCGAGAATTGTGCCGGGTAGGACTCTAGTGTCAATTTAAGGCTTGAACACACGTGAGGATCCTATGTAACATGAGGAGATACAAAATTGTATCTAATTAGACATTGAACCACTAATTAAGTAAGATAATACACTCCGAGGCACGAAAACACTTTATCACAAGTGTTAGGAATGATACGGGTTGCATCTAAGGGGGTGTAGGGCTTATGTAAGGAGCTTACTCTTCAAGAGTAAACTCTTAGAAGAGTTTACGGCCCATATACCATATCCCCATGATTTTACGACCGTAAACTCATGGGTGGTTTGTTCTTGGATGCTTAAAGGTCTTACATTGCACAAGGGAAGGTTCTAGGGTTGATTCCATAGCTTAGGAAGTGATCGGGACTTGAAATGACATTGGAAAAGGGGTTTACGGTTCTTGAAGGACCCTTGGTGAGTTTACTACCATAAACACATGGGTTTATGGCCATAAACTCTTGCTTGGTTCATTCTTCATGAGTTTTAGTGGTTGTAGGTTAAGCATGCAAGTTTTAGACCCAAATATAAGCCATGCAAGGTGTTAAGGGCACTTAAACACCCTCTGGAGGTGTTTACGGTTTTAGGACCCCTTCCGAAACCATAAACTCAAGTGTGGCTCATTTGTGCACGGTTTGGGGCATCACATGAAGGAATACAAGGTTCTAGGAACTCATGCAAGCTTTTGGAGGTGTTTAAGGGGCAATTTAACACCATAAAAGGTGTTTATGGTCTATGAAGGAGTGTTTACGGTCCAAGAACTTTCTTAGGCCATAAACTCATGTTTACCACCCAAAAGACACGATTTTGGTGTTCAAAGCTCGTTCATGCAAGTCCTTACGTCATATCTAAGCACTAGAAAGGATTTTGAAGGGTTTTGGGGCATCAAAACCCCTTTAAGGGAGTTTACGGTTTTAGAGATGTTCCCCAACCGTAAACACAAGTTTTTGAGAGGTTTTGATGATTTAAACACAGATTTGCATGCTTAACAAGTTAAACAACAAGCTAAGATAGATCACTTACGATTTTGGAGCTTGAAGGGGCGTTTTTGGGTCAAAACTCGAGTTTTAGAGAGAGAAAGTTATAAGGAGGTGGGAAAAAGCTTAAATGAAGGCCACTTATCCTTTTTATAAGGCTTGAGTTTGTGGCGAAGTGGGAATCCACCCAATACCGTCGTTAAACGGAGTTTATGGTCGTACCCGATTAAATTGTCGTAACCCGACTTAGTTATAACTAAAAATCTTCCAAATGAATATTGGGGGTGTTTTCATGTGATTTTATTTCATTCCGACACTTAAGAAGATGAAAATAACAACATTAATTATTTTGCCTAACCCAAAAGTTAACGGAAAAATTTCAATAAAAATAAATTTTATTAACGGAAATGGGTTACAGTGACGGGATAAATTTCAGGTTGTCACATCACCCCCCCTGTTAGAGGGAATTTCGTCCCGAAATTTAGAATTAAGGTACAAATCATGGATTTGGAAAGAGATGCGGATATTTTTGTTTCATCGAGTCTTCACGTTCCCAAATGAATTCGGGTCCCCGCTTGGCATTCCAACGAACCTTCACTATCGGGATGCGGTTTTGTTTCATGCGTTTGATCTTTCGATCCATGATTTCGATTGGTTCTTCCACAAAGTTTAGACTTTCCTTGATCTCGATTTCATCAAGAGGGATAATGAGGGTTCCATCGGATAGACACTTTTTAAGATTAGAGACGTGGAAGACAGGATGAATGTTGCTAAGTTCTTAAGGTAGTCGGAGTTTATAGGCTACAGGACCGATCCTAGCGAGGATCTCGAAAGGTCCTATGTACCTCGGGTTAAGTTTCCCGCACATTCCAAAGCGTATCATGCCTTTCCAGGGCGATACCTTCAACAGGACGCGATCTCCAACCTGGAATTCCAAGGGTTTCCGTCGTTTATCGGCGTAACTCTTTTGTCTGTCTCGTGAAGCTTTCAGTCGATCTAGGATTTGAATGATCTTTTCGGTGGTTTCACGGATGATTTTAGGACCAGTGAGAGCACTGTCGGGGACTCGACTCATGGCTAGATGCGTGTCCCCTACCTCGGCCCAACACAGAGGGGATCTGCATTTGCGACCGTAGAGGGCTTCGAACGATGCAACCTTGATGCTGGTGTGGTAGCTGTTGTTATCTGAGAACTCGATCAAGGGTAAATGAGTGTCCCACGACTTTCCAAAATTGATGACACATGCTCTCAGCATGTCTTCCAGGGTCTGGATAGTTCTCTCACTCTGCCCATCTATCTAAGGATGATAAGCTGTACTCATATCCAGTTTAGTTCCAAGAGCTTTCTGAAGGGACTGCCAAAATCTTGAGGTAAACCTGCTATCTCGATCGGAGATAATGGACACATTCACACCGTGCAGTCGGACTATCTCTTGGATGTAGATTCGGGTAAGTCATTCCATCTTGAACGATTCCTTAATTGGAAGGAAGTGAGGGGATTTTGTCAATCGGTCGACAATTACCCAAATGGTATCGTACCTACTCGGAGATCTGGGTAACTTGGTGATGAAATCCATGGTAATCATCTCCCATTTCAATTCAGGTATCTCGGGCTGCTGGAGTAGAACCGAGGGTTTCTGGTATTCGACCTTTACTTTGGCGCCAGTCAGACACTTGCCCACAAAGGTAGCGATTTCGGCCTTCATATTTGGCCACCAGTATAGCTTCTTGAGATGCAGGTACATCTTGTCCGAATCTGGGTGAACATAGTATCTGGTCTTGTGAGCTTCGTTCATAACAACCTCCCTGAAACCTCCGAACTTTGGGGTCCAGATTCGATCCATGAAATAATAGACTCCGTCACCTCTGATTTCAAGATTTTTATCCATTCCCCTCAAGGCTTCGTTCGGCACTATCTATGGTTTTAGGGCTTCCAATTGAGCCTCTCGAATTTGCACGGATAAGTGGGAATGGATGGTCATTGTCATTGTCTTCACTTTGTGGCTTGAACTCTCCTTTCGGCTAAGGGCATCTGCCACCACATTGGCCTTGCCGGGATGGTAGCGGATTTCGCACTCATAATCGCTGAGCAACTCTACCCATCGCCGTTGTCTCATGTTTAAGTCTTTCTGATTGAAGATATGTTGCAAGCTTTTATGGTCAGTGAAGATCGTGCACTTGGTTTCCGTAGAGATAATGTCTCCAAATCTTCAGTGAAAAGACCACTGCTCCTAACTCCAGGTCGTGAGTTGTGTAGTTGACTTCGTGTTCCTTCAGCTGTCTCGAGGCATAAGCGATAACTTTTCCTCTCTGCATAAGCACACAACCTAAGCCCTGATTGGACGCATCGCAGTAGACAACAAAATCCTTGGTTCCTTCGGGCAAGGACAGGATAGGTGCGCTGCACAAGGCTCTCTTCAATGTTTGGAAGGCAGTGTCTTGCTTTTCACTCCAACAAATTTCTCATAATTCTAACAAAATTCCTAGTTAATCCTCAACACCCACTTTGCTTTATTTTTAGAACATATGGTTTATATATATATATATATATATATATATATATATATATATATATATATATATATATATATATATATATATATATATATATGGAAAAGTGAGTGTGAGGCTGTAATACATGTAACCTTAGGTGTGGAACCATATAATACGATGTCGTTCTAGACGAAAATAAGGTTACGTGCATTTGATGAAAATAAAGTCAATTGCTTTCACTTATTTTAAGCATTTACAATTTTATATGTTATTTTTTCCTTTATTGTCGGCTTCCATGAAATCCTACTCATATTAAAATTTCTTTTCCATTTTACCCATAATTCCTTTTTAACTTCGATTGCCAGAATCCTTAATTCTTTTATAAAAGTAACCTACCTAGTGCTCTATTTTATAATTCATGGTCATCAATTGCATCATTTAATCCAAACGACCAGGTATGAACAAAGTTAATCTTTTTTTGTTTGGTCGTTCCTTATCAATTTTACCTACGTTTCCTTCTCAACTTCGAATTTTGTAATCACATATTTTTTTTCTTTAGATTAACCAACGTAAAACCCTGTTTTATCATTCATCCTCATCAATTTCGTGGATTATCAAAATTACCAGGTACCAACATTCTGTTAAAGTAGCTATTAACTTTCTTTATTATCATATTGACCTATTCGGTGCATTATTTTAGGTTGACTTTCATCCAGTAACATCAGAAAGATAAGAATTAAGATCATGAATTCAGAAAACCTAGTAGGGAATCAGTCATTTGCAACACACACAATCGACGATGTTGATGCAAATGTTTCTTCAGAATCAACATTTGAATCTGAAAGAGTAAGTGAGGACACTATGAATCTTGCATGTGATGAATATGATATTATTGGGAAGGTTTTTAATACACCTAAGGATGCATATACATTTTATAACCAATATGCCTTTCTTCATGGATTCGGTATACGTGTTCATTGGAGCTTTAAAAATAAGACCACAAATGAGCCTTACCGAAAGACCTATGTGTGTAATAAACAAGGCTTTACAAGTTTGAAGGGCAATAGTTAATGTGGGGTGCTAAGAAACGTTCTAGAAATTTGAGGACCGGATGCAAAGCAATGCTCCGAATATCAAAAGGAAAAGATGGGAAATGGTTTGTGGATGTGTTTAATGACACACACAATCATAGTTTGAGTACAACTCCTACAAAGTAATGAAACATCGTTCTCATGGGAAGATCCACCGCTAAATGGCTTGTAAGTCTCTTATGGTAGAACTAGGTCAATCAGGGTTGAGGCCTTGTCAAATTAAAAAGGTTGTAAATGCAATGAAAACTTCATATGATGTCGATGTTACCTCAAAGCAATGTGCCGATGTTTTATCTGAGCAACGTAAACAATATAAAGGTAAAGAGTTTTATGGGCTAATCAAACATTTCCAAGATAAAGCATTAGTTGATAGTAACCAGTATTTTGCCGTGGATTTGTTTGAAGATGGGTCTCCTAAAAATGTTTTTTGGGCCGATGGAAGATCACGAGAGGCATATACTAAATTTGGGGACGTCGTTGTGTTTGACGTCACATACATGACAAATAAATTTAAGATGCCATTTGCTCCGTTTGTTGGTGTGAATCATCATGGCCAGTCTATATTGTTTGGTGGTGCATTGCTAGAAAATGAAAAAGAAGAAACTTTTCGATGGCTATTTGAGCATTTTTTAAATTGTATGTTTAGAAAGTATCCAGCGACAATGATAACAGACCAGGATAAAGCTATGGGTAATGCAATCAAGAAATTGTTTCCAAACACTCACCATCGTTTCTGTGCATGGCACATTAAGAAGCATGAATTGGAACATCTGTGACCACTTGTTGTTTGTTATAGTGATTTTAAAGAGGCTTATATACAATGGGTAAAGAGTGATACAATTGAAGAATTTGAAACCAATTGGGAAGTTATTCGCGGTAAGTATAACATCGAAAGTAACAGTTGGATAAACGATATGTATAACCAACGAATACATTGGGCCAAAGCTTTCTTGAAAGATGTTTTCTTTGCTGGAATGACTACAAGTGGAAGAAGCGAGAGCATTCATTCATTTTTTGATGGATTTGTTAATTCCAAGACCATGTTGAATGAATTTGTACTCCAATATGATAAAGCAGTTGACTCTCGAAGGGCTGCCGAAGAAGATGAAGACTTTAAGACCATGAACTCTAGTCCAATCCTTTTTTATGTTCATCCGATAGAAGCAAAAGCAGGTCACTTTTATACGAGAAAAATGTTTGAGGTTTTCAAAAAAGAATGGATAGAAGCTAATTGTAACTTAACTCATGAGACTTTAAGTAAAACAACAAAAGAAATCAAATATAGGGTTGGCCAGCTTAATATTGATAAAAGACATTGGAGAATTGTTATCTTTCGTTTTGTGGATCATGTGAATGTCACGTGTTCATGTGCTAAGTATGAAACATATGGGATATTATGCAAGCATAGCCTTTACGTGATGAAGAAAAGACATGTTGAAAACCTTCCTGATCACTATATTTTACCAAGGTGGACACTTAGTGTTAGGTATAAGGTGGGTAATGGCAACATTGGACTAGAAGAAATGAATTGTGAAAATGGAGTTAGTGCCTTAACTTTATGGTGTGTTCGTTCAAATTGTGATAAAGCAATCGAACAAGCAAGCGACTCCCCTGCAGAGATAGAAAAATTCAACAATTTCGTGATAAACTTTTTAGAAGATCAAAAGATTCGGAAAAAGCCTAAAGCATTAGAGAATGTTTCTCAAAGTCCTTACAAGGGAATTTCTCAAGTAGACATGACACCTCAGTTATCTGTATTTGTCCGTGATCCTATTGCTCCGACAAATACGAAAGGGCGTCCAAAAAATGCAACTAGAATTAAGTCTTCTTTAGAGAACGTGAAGAAAAAAAGAACTTGCTCTTACTGTCGAACACCAGGTCATTATGCCACTGGATGTCCTAAAAGAAAGGTAACTGTAATATTTACTGATTCTTCATGATTTTTTCGCGGCATACTTATATTCATTATTATTAGATGGACGAATCCGTAGCAGAAAAACAGCGATGAAAATGTGTAATCATGTGGATGGGTTCTTTTGTTGTCTACATGTGTTGCTCGTTGATGCTGTGAGGATGTGTGCTTTGTGCATATTGTGTTTGGTTTCTGCTTGGTATCAGTTTACCTCACAAACCATTATTTTTTTCCTTAGAGAGAGCTTACAACACATTTTTGGTTAATTTATGCAACTTTAAGATATATATACATATTAATCCGTTGAATGCTTTTAGAAACATGGAATATTAATGAATGAATGCACCTGAGATTTTGTTTAATGGTTTTTATCTCTTGATGTAAATATAGATTAAATTATTAGTTAGTGTATCTTATTGTTTATTATATGTTGGGTTGCTAACAAATAAGAATCCGCCAACTAAAAAACTAGAAGTAGCCAAAATTTGGGTTGCTGCGAGTTTCAACTATGATCAATTGTTGCTTTCAGTTGTTTTTTCATGTCCCTCGTTCTTCAAGTTGGCCATTTATCAAACATCCTAGATTCTTGCACGATATTCCCTCAAGAAGCATCCTTGACTGTCATGGAAATTGGGAAACTTTTAAATAGCATCGAACATATTGAAATATCCATTGCATACTTTTAACCTTCATACTTTCGTAGCTTATTTCTTTTAAAAGATGGATAATTTCAACTACATCCACTTTACTTAGATAATAAACTGCTACATTATGTATTTTTAGTGGCTTATTTCATTTAGACATTACATCAAACACTTACTATGCATTCCAATAAACAAGAACTATAAGATATATAATGTCAGTTACCTTCTGCCAGTATACAAGCCATTCAATCTAATACAGCTTTCACATAAATTAAAAAGAATTTTGACATGTTACTGTAACTTTTTGCAAACTATTCAAACCACTACTAAATTAAACCATAATAACATGCTACCCACGGAAACATGAAAAACAAAAGTCAAAATCAAATGACAAAGAAATGGATTGGGGACCCACGTCTTGTGTTTCAACATTTTAAATCCTACAATCAGAACACGGAAAGGAAGAAAGATATAATGTAAACGTTCAATTTCACGGGAAACTTACTAGAACGAAATAAGGGAAAATGTTGTATAAAATGGGGATTGATGAGCAATACGACGGCCATGGAAGAATCTGAATTTGTAACCCATTATTGCAAACCCATATCGTTGTCAAGGAAGAATAGTAAGATTTAGAATCGTGTGATAACTACAGTAGCCACAACAAAATCGATGGAAAAGAGCTAAGATTGAAAAATTAGGGTTTGAGAAAAAAACCAAGGAAATCAGATTGTGGATTTATAATTTAAAGAAAACGACGTAGTATATATGGAAGCCAACAATAAAGGAAAAAATAACATATAAAATTGTAAATGCTTAAAATAAGTGAATGCAATTGACTTTATTTTCATCAAATGCAAGTAACCTTATTTTCATCTAGAACGGCATCGTATTATATGGTTCCACACCTAAGGTTACATGTATTACAGCCTCACACTCACTTTTCCATATATATATATATATATATATATATATATATATATATATATATATATATATATATATATATATAGACTTCATTTGTTCATGTATAATAACTACACAATTTTTTTTTGTTTTATTATTACAATATTTCAATTTTAAAACTTTTTCCTTACAAAGTTATTTAAATTGAAGTTTTTAACCCCATAACAACATTCTGCTTTCTATTTTTGTCTTATTAGGAAAATATACTTTCAAATGTCTAAAAAATGGTATTTATCGACTTACAAACAAAAACACCGAGATTGATTGCTCAATCGGTGATGACTACATTCAATTGCATACTTGAGGGATGTTTTGATGTTGGAAAATAACATGATCATCTACATATAGTATTAAAACACAAACTAACTTTTTCATTATATCCTAATGATTACAATATACTTAGTATTATTTAAGCATGTTTAAACTTAATGACCCTATAATATTTAGACTGTAGCTATATGCATTGATCGAATCAAAAATGAGTTTACTTATCCTACAAAAGCTTTGCTTCAGTGGCAAAAATGAGAGACCCAGTTGTAGTCTTGAGAAATTTTTTTTGTAACAACTGAATTTCGATCCATGGAAAAATGAAATTATAATTTTAGACAAAAACATAAAAACATCACACCATTTTTTAGTTCTATTATAATTTTATAGAAAATATAGAAACAAAAAACAATTTTTGAAGAAAGTGTTTCAAATCATAATTAAAACAAAATAAATCATAATTTAATTGTAAACACCATTGGATTTAGAATTACAATTTATTAATTTTGGTTAATCATTTGACATTTGAAAGGATATAAACTAAATAATGAATAAAGTTAGGTGTTTGAAAATTATAGCTCTCATGTAAAAGAATGATAAGAAATATGAAGAGATCAATGCTTCTTTATTTTCTTTGATGACGATTTTTGAGTTGTCCAAGGTCTTTTAGTAAGCCTCACCGCATATAAAAGTAAATTTGGCCCCCACACATAGAAAGTAAAAAAGATCATAAAAAAGAGGGGGGGGGGGGGGTCGGGATATATGAAGAAATATACAAGATCATTTTAATGATGAAGCTTTATAGTGTATACTTACGCATTCCTTTGTTCCTTCCTATATGCAAAAAAAAAAACAACAAAAAGTATGTTAAACATTTGAAAATAAGTATGAATTCAATGCAGTCAGCTTCGAAACATGAAAATCCATTAGCCAACCGAAAAAACTGTTAGAATATCCCTAAAATATACATTTTCATTGGATTAAATGTTCATTTTAACAAAATAAAGACTAAACATAAAGGCGTGGTGGAATATATTATAATATATGATAGTGGTCAAGGCAAAGATTAGCAATATACATGATTAATTGGAGGCTACATTGCACTGAATATCCTTAACACAATAAGCAAAATTTTGAAAACATATTGTTTGTCAAAAGCAAATAGAATATATAATCTTACTTGGAACGATAGGCTTCTCTATTGCATCACGTATCACTACAATACCACTATATCTCTTACTATTAATCACACCTTTTCCTCCTCCAACATATAGCCAAAATTATGCATCATCTAATATGAATATGGGATATTTATAACAATTTGAAATATTTTTCAACATGGTATAATTAAAAAAATGTATAGCTCAAGAATCCATTTCCTTATTGATATGTCAAAATTATATGCCACTACAAAGCATTATGAACTTGTTCCCGTGTAAAAAACATATTATTTTCAACAAAGAAAGCAAATAAGATGACCAATTCAAATTATTAGTAGCTTGAAACCAATTTTCGTTGAGAGAGAGAGAGAGAGAGAGAGAGAGAGAGAGAGAGAGAGAGAGAGAGAGAGAGAGAGAGAGTTACCTTTTTGAATGTTTGGCAGATAAGTAATGTGTTCTTTAGCTGTCCTAGAGCACCAAACATTTACCCTGCTCCAGATTTGTAACATCCCGAGATTTGGCAGGTATTCTGGAACCCTCTTCTATCATTACCTTGTCATTTATAGTCCTTGGGGTTGGAAGTGAAGAGTCAAGATAATTTTAAGGACCATGTTTGCAAACTTGGGCCAAAAGGGAGTACGATGCACGTATATAAGAGTACGCTAAGCATATTAAGGCCCGCCTTAGTACGCTAGGCATACACTTATGTACGTTGGGCATACTAATGTCTGGGTGAAACCCTAATATTTAGGGTTTGGGCTCTATATAAGCAACATTATGAACACCAAAACCTCTATTTCCTTAGCCTCCATAGATTACATTCTTCCTCCCCAAACCTTAGCCTCTCCTTTGTGTGTTTAAGCTTATTTGGTATGTTCTTGACTGCTTTAAGAGGAAGGTATTTCATCAATGAATTGGAGAAGAAGATCAAGCTTGTAGATCTGAAGTTAGCTTGTGCTCAAGAAGCTCTAGAAGGTATAAAGTTCCAAACTTTATACATATATGCATAGATGTCATCATTTTACTTTAGTATGAGCACCAAAACCTCTATTTCCTCAGCCTCCATAGATTACATTTGTCCTTCCCAAACCCTAGCCTCTCATTTGTGTGTTTAAGCTTATTTGGTGTGTTCTTGAGTGCTTTAAGAGGAAGGTATTTCATCAAAGAGTTGGAGAAGAAGATCAAGCTTGTAGATTTGAAGTTAGCCTGTGCTCAAGAAGCTCTAGAAGGTATAAAGTTCCAAACTTTATGCATATATGCATAGATATCATCATTTAATTTATTAGAAGCATTTCTTGTCCCAAAAGTCATAAGGAGGTGCATGTTGTGATTTGGACAAAAAGAGTTGTCATTCCAGACACTTGAAGGGACCTTGAGTGATAAAAAATGAGGTCCCATTAGTTGTATGTGTCCCATACAAAGAGAAATACGGTCTTAATGGATTAAGACCAAGCATTTATAACTTTATGGACGTCCAAAGTGATAAAGTTGATGACTTTATGAATCATAGGCATGTTAGGTCCCATTAGTTGTATGTGTCACCGACTCAAGAAGCTCTAGAAGGTATAAAGTTCCATACTTTATGCATATATGCATAGATGTCATCATTTTACTTTAGTATGAGCACCAAAACCTCTATTTCCTCAGCCTCCACAAATTACATTCGTCCTCCCCAAACCCTAGCCTCTCCTTTGTGTGTTTAAGTTTATTTGGTGTGTTCTTGCGTGCTTTAAGAGTAAGGTATTTCATCAAAGAGTTGGAGAAGACGATCAAGCTTGTAGATTTGAAGTTAGCCTGTGCTCAAGAAGCTCCAGAAGGTATAAAGTTCCAAACTTTATGCATATATGCATAGATATCATCATTTACTTTATTAGAAGCATTTTTTTGTCCCAAAAGTCATAAGGAGGTGCATGTTGTGATTTGGACGAAAAGAGTTGTCATTCCAGACTCTTGAAGGGACCTTAAGTGATAAAAATGAGGTCCCATTAGCT